GAAGATGATGGGAGTCGGTGAAATGAGGAAGATGATGGTTTTGGTGAGGCTAGGAAGATGATGGGAGTGGGTAAAGTGAGGAAGAGGATGGTTGAGTGAAGTGAGGTAGATGATGGGAGTCAGTGAAGGGAGGAAGATGATGAAAGGGCTTGGACGAAAGATTGAGAGAAAATCAGATTGTTACTTTTTATAATCATACGTGTTAACTCAAGGATCCAGAGTAGATGTAGTGTAGTGGAAGTGTCTGCTACACGTCACCTACTCCCTGACACGCAGGCCGCTCTCTCTTACTGGTCATTTGCTGGCTAAACTCTCCGGTCAACCAGGAGGCCTGACAATGTAATGGAGTATTCCAACAGGGAATCCGGCCATAATGACCAGATTATGTGTTCTGTGGTCCCGTAATTTGACGAGATTATAAGCTCTCGAGTTCAACTCTGGGCAAGATGGTGGAGCTCTGAGATGGGGGTTTACACACGGCGCCCTATTGTGTACTCGTGAAAGCGAGCGGGGCGCGAGGCGACAATAAAGTTATGGAGCGTTGACACGCGCCCCACACCCCCCTGGTGGCACCTGTCTGAGTTGGGCGTGGTCTGAGTGACACTTAAGTCACCTGTCTTTTAGAGGTGAGCGCGCGCCGTGTGTGTGCGCGTAAAGGGGGTATGGGGGGGCAAGGGGGGGGATGAGAGTGGGTAAGTTGAAATATGAAAATATTTTGTAGCTTTTTTGACTGTATGTGTCTTGAGGGTTTTGCTACTCAAGAGCGGTGGAGTCACGCAATGAAGCAATGGTGACTGTCACAAGAATGGTGGAGTCACGCAATGTAGCAATGGTGACTGTCACAAGAATGGTGGAGTCACGCAATGTAGCAATTGTGACTGTCACAAGAATGGTGGAGTCACGCAATGAAGCAATGGTGACTGTCAGAAGAATGGTGGAGTCATGCAATGAAGCAATGGTGACTGTCACAAGAACAGTGGAGTCACGCAATGAAGCAATGGTGACTGTCACAAGAACAGTGGAGTCACGCAATGAAGCAATGGTGACTGTCAGAAGAATGGTGGAGTTACGCAATGCAGCAATGGTTACTGTAACAAGAATGGTGGAGTCATGCAATGAAGCAATGGTGACTGTCACAAGAACGGTAGAGTCACGCAATGAAGCAATGGTGACTGTCACAAGAATGGTGGAGTCACGCAATGAAGCAATGGTGACTGTCAGAAGAATGGTGGAGTCATGCAATGAAGCAATGGTGACTGTCACAAGAACAGTGGAGTCACGCAATGAAGCAATGGTGACTGTCACAAGAATGGTGGAGTCATGAAATGGAGCAATGGTGACTGTCACAAGAACAGTGGAGTCACGCAATGAAGCAATGGTGACTGTCACAAGAATGGTGGAGTCAAGCAATGCAGCAATGGTGACTGTCACAAGAATGGTGGAATCACGCAATGAAGCAATGGTGACTGTCACAAGAATGGTGGAGTTACGCAATGCAGCTATGGTTACTGTAACAAGAATGGTGGATTCATGCAATGAAGCAATGGTGACTGTCACAAGAACGGTAGAGTCACGCAATGAAGCAATGGTGACTGTCACAAGAATGGTGGAGTCACGCAATGCAGCAATGGTGACTGTCACAAGAACGGTGGAGTCACGCAATGCAGCAATGGTGACTCAAATAACACTCAACATACTCCCACTAATCAGTTCATCAAATGTGTACATACGTTTAACAAGGAACTCTTTCCCTCTTCAAAAAATGGTTCCTGTTGATTTCGTTGACAAGGTGATTGCCTCATTGACACAGGCATATCCACACACACACACACACACACACAGTTGTTTGTGGGTTGGTTGTTTTGTTGTCGTTGTCATGGAAAATAACTAATAATGTCTTACGAGGCAGGAATCTCTTCCTGTAAATAAGTAAATTAGTGGGGGTCATCAGTAGGGCATCGGGCACTTCGGGAACATGACGAATGCGCCATCTACCTCTCCGTCCAACTCTACACCGATTCAAAAATATGTTATCATGCTTACCAATATTTAGTTACATTTAAAAAAAAAAAAGATAAACCTGTGCATCTGAAAAAGTTGAATACAAAGAGTTTTCTATTAAAGAGTTTTCTATCAAAGAGTTTTCTATTAAAGAGTTTTCTATTAAAGAGTTTTCTGTCTGGACTCGCGTGTCTGGAGCGGTGGGGCCGAGTGATCTCAGCGGGTTTTAGGAAACGTTCCTCAACCATAGTTGAGAAGACTCACATCTAATATTGTAAGCAAATTAAAGGGTAAAGATCAGCTAGGACACCATCACAGTGGCTAGACCAGGTGGGGCGACGTCACAATGGCTAGAACAGCTAGGACACCGTCACAATGGCTAGGCCAGGTAGGACACCATCACAGTGGCTAGACCAGGTGGGGCGACGTCACAATGGCTAGAACAGCCAGGACACCGTCACAGTGGCTAGACCAGGTAGGACACCATAACAATGGCTAGGCCAGGTAGGACACCATCACAGTGGCTAAGACCAGCTAGGACACCATCACAGTGGCTGACCAGGTAGGACACCATCACAGTGGCTAGACCAGGTAGGACACCATCACAGTGGCTAAACCAGGTAGGACACCATCAGTGGCTAGACCAGGTAGGACACCATCACAGTGGCTAGACCAGGTAGGACACCGTCACAGTGGCTAGACCAGGTAGGACACCGTCACAGTGGCTAGACCAGGTAGGACACCATCACAGTGGCTAGACATTAAAGGACAACGTCACAATGGCTAGACCAGGCAGGATACCGTCACAATGGCTAGACCAGGTAAGACACTGTCAAAAAGTATGGGACTGTGTCATGAAATAAGTACAGGACTTTGTCGATGTCTGAGACTTGACGGCCCTGACCTTTTGAGTCTTGCGATTGTGGCTTTATGGCTTGTTGCTTTAGATGTTAGGGCTTTAGAGATTAAGACTTTAGGGCTTTAGGCCATGGGGTTTGATGCTTTATTGATTGAAATCTTAGGGATTGAGGCCTTAGGGTTTGAGGCTTTAGGGATTCGGTCCTTAGAGATTGAGGGTTTGGGTATTAAGGCCTTAGATTGAGGCTTCAGAGATGAGTGGCGTACATAAACAAAACAAGGCAAATGAGTGGTATACATATAACACAAATCATTCATATTTTATAATCGTATTTATTTGTTTTTAAACAAATTGAATGAGACAATAAATGGAATGAAGTGATAACGGAATGGCAGATGCGCTTTAAAAAAGACTTTAAAAATAACAAATACATTTATTGACTAGACCTTTTAAAAAAAATCTCCCGAGTTTTTTTCATGCACTTAAATCTATAAATACATGTACGAGATGATAAAATTTCCGCAAAGTCAACTAATCTCAAATGGTCCCCAATCTCTCCAGTCCCTCACTCTCTTTCATGTTCTGAATTGTTCTTTCTCTTTCTTGCTCACTCATTTTCCACTCTCAATCTGTCTCGCTGATCCGATCTGCTCACTTCCTCCCACATGGGCTCTCCACCCTTTCATCATTACGCACATAGGTGTATAAAATGTTCATCATCATTGCAATACAAAAAGACTGCATGGTTATCATCTCATATTAAGCATTATACAAAAATCCTTTCCATCTACTTCGGCGCGGCAATCATAATGTATAAAGCCTGGCCATCATCTTGTAGCAAGCATAATATATAAAGCCTGGCCATCATCTTGTAGCAAGCATAATATATAAAGCCTGGCCATCATCTTGTAGCAAGCATAATATATAAAGACTGGCCATCATCTTGTAGCAAGCATAATATTAGAAGACTGGCCATCATCTTGTAGCAAGCATAATATTAGAAGACTGGCCATCATCTTGCAGAAAGCAACAGTCTAAAAAGCAACAGTCTAAAAAGCAACAGTCTAAAAAGCAACAGTCTAAAAAGCAACAGTCTAAAAAGCAACAGTCTAAAAAGCAACAGTCTAAAAAGCAACAGTCTAAAAAGCAACAGTCTAAAAAGCAACAGTCTAAAAAGCAACAGTCTAAAAAGCAACAGTCTAAAAAGCAACAGTCTAAAAAGCAACAGTCTAAAAAGCAACAGTCTAAAAAGCAACAGTCTAAAAAGCAACAGTCTAAAAAGCAACAGTCTAAAAAGCAACAGCTAATGAAGAAAAAAAAACAACTATCTCCAAAAAAGTATCAAAGTTTAAACAAATAATTTAATTAAATAAATTATAATATATGGCATTTTTTGAGCACATGGACAACAAAATAATCATGTTTAATACATTTGGAATTATTCCATGACTTGACTAGTGACTGATATGACTTTAATTAGTGTCATATGTGACTTCTGTGACTGATATGACTTTAATTAGTGTCATATGTGACTTCTGTGACTGATATGACTTTAATTAGTGTCATATGTGACTTCTGTTCGATGGCGAATCAAATGATTGATGTTTGCAACTTGGGTTTATAGCATTTAGCGCCTGATATCACTTGTTTTTTGTTTTGTTCAGCGACACTTTCTAGACACCAGTCTACACTAACCAAGTGACTCACTGGGATCCAAGCTCCTTGCAACCAGTCTACACTAACCAAGTGACTCACTGGGATCCAAGCTCCTTGCCACCAGTCTACACTAACCAAGTGACTCACTGGGATCCAAGCTCCTTGCCGCCAGTCTACACTAACCAAGTGACTCACTGGGATCCAAGCTCCTTGCCGCCAGTCTACACTAACCAAGTGACTCACTGGTACAATGAGCTCTTTGATAATTGAGATCCAACTCAACTGTCAAAAATTCTCAAAAAGAGTCCGCTTCACCACCATATTTCATTTTTATTTGCTTTAGCAGTTTAAATAGTTTACATATTTTTAATAATTGTAAAGCGCTTAGAGCTGTAAGGTAAGCGCTATTAAAAAATGCCTAAATAATAACAATAACTTGTCTGCTGTCATTGGACATCTCTGCACAATGTTTTCAACTGCAGTCGGACTGTAATAATGAATTGGCTTGGCTTGTTCTCCACAAAAAATATAATTGTACGTAAAATTTTGCAAAGGCATTGTCCCTGTGAGGGTAAGTCTTTACCTTTGAGAGACCTCCCATTTCAACCTTCAAACATTTCTAAATATTTGGCTTCTCGGGGCTGGTTCATCAATCTGTAAGTCATACCGACCCATCTATTGGTTCATGACGTCACATTTCCAGCCACGTCAACATCTCATCCAAACTTGCTAGCCGCCCGTTCTGACGTCACACCGAGTTACTCGGACAGCCGTCCTCGTGCTTCGTCAAAAGCGACATCCGGGAGAACGTCTTGCTGCACCCCTTGCAGCTGTACCGCTTCACGTCCGCGTGAGTCTGCAAATGCGCGCGCAGGTTGGATCGGTCGGCGAACGCCCGGCCGCAGTGGCTGCACCTGAACGGCTTTTCCCCCGTGTGGGTCCGGATGTGACCTTGGAGGAGCCAAGGTCGGGAGAACGCCTTGCCGCACACCTGACATTTGCAAGGGAGTGTGTGCGTTCGAATGTGCATCTTCAGCGCCCCGAGGGAAACGTACGTCTTCTCGCAATGTTTGCACGTGAATTCTTTCCTGACGTGCGTGTTGCAATGGAACTGCTTGTGCTTGCTGAGACCGCTCAGGGTGCTGTAGGTTTTGTTGCAGGATTCGCAGTTGAAACGCAGCAGGGCACTTTCCCTTTCTTTGCCCTGTTTTATGTTTGCTTGGTGGGGGACTTCGCTTGAGAATAAACGACTGACCCCGAGACCAGTGTGGCTGTTGGAGAGGCTGCAGTTGAGGGCGTCGTTTGGTAAGGTGTTGATGGTGGTGGTGGGGGAGGTGATGATGTTGGAGATGGTGCTGCTGGTGGTGCTGGAGGGCGAGGACATGCACGTGGGGGAGGAGGGGGAGAGTGATGAAGATGTTTTGCGGTGGGGGAATGGTGTGGTGTTGGGGAGTGACCCGCGGTCAAAGTGGGTGGTAGGGATGACGAGCTCGGTACGGCAAAAGTGGGAGGCCTCGTGGGTAGACGGCTCTTTTTTGGGGATGTCCGGTTGGGGAAGCAGCTGAAAAGGCGGGTATGCCCCTGGGAATGCTCGAAACGGTGGTTGGAAGTACAGCGATGGCGTGTTAAGGGTCAAAGGGGGTGACCTCTGTAAAAACGATTTGGTGAAGGGAGAGTCTAGCAAGTGGTAAGGGTTAAGGTGTGTGTGGACGGTGGAATACAAGCTGGAGTGGAGGGCAGGATGGAGGGCAGGGTGGAGGGCGGGGTGGAGGTTTTGGGCCTGTTGAAAAAATCTCATGTAATAGCTCGTCAGGGCTGGGTGGGCTTGCAGTCCACCGATGGGGAGCGCCGGAGACCACTGGGGCGTTAACGTAAGTTCGGATATTTTGAGTGGCTCCGTCAGCTGTCGTGATAATGGCGTTAGCTCCGCACGTTTTTTCGTGGCGTCAGCTTCGTTGGCAGAGACTGAATTGTTCAAATCTTCAGATCGCCGCTGATCGATCAAATGGTTGCATTTCGCGTCGTCAAAGACATTTATGTGAAGCGGCTTGACGTGATGGCCTTGTTTGACTTCATTGAGATGTGTTCTCTGGGGTGTTTTCAGTAGTAGCAATTCCCTGGACGCGTTAGGGGATCTTCTCAAAAGCTGCATCCCCTCGTCTGAAACTGATGGCAACCTCCGCAGTTTAAAACTGTTGTTGTTTCCGGTCGGCAAAGTAAAGTTAGAGGAATCGCCAGGAGCTTCAACGGTTTCACCGTAAGGTTCATGTTCGATCCTCGCGTTTTTGGCACGTGTTTGGTAATCTTTCCCCAGGTGGCCGACGTCTTGTAGCTGACGAGGGGAATGACCAGCAATGACATGTCTTTTTCTGTTATATTTGTCCACGCCTTTTGATTCCCCCCTCGTTGCATCCTCGTGGCGTGCATTCAAGCGTGGCTTAGTTTCACCGCTGCTACCCGTGCAACCGACATCATGACGTTTACGGAAAGACGTCTCCGGGGAATGTCCGGACATGTAGCCACTGTCATCACAACATCCATTGCAGCCGTTGGAGTTATCGTCTGCTGGCGCGCTGTCTTTTGTTACACTTTTTCTCATCGGATTTAAAAGTGTGCAATGGGGAGATTTTGAAGCTGGAGCCAAATGTTCTGAATCGAAACGTTCGAGTTCTTTCTTTAGATCAGTGTGGCACAGTAATGAATCGCCAACGCGTTTTTCGACACGGTTGTAATTGACGTCCACGCGACTCGTGGTCAGACGTTCTTCCTGCTTGACGTAAACATCTGAAGTATTGCGATGTGTCGGTGATGTAGGGGGTGTGGCGTTGTGGTTGGTGAAATCTAAAGGACTCATCCTTTCGTGACACTTTAACATGTTCAAAGTGTTTTCTTGAGTGTTGTCTGTTCTGGACACGGGGCGCCAGAAAAAATCTCGCACCGGTGGGGATCTGGTGGGCGCCGCTATTTTGATATCGGGTAACTCAGAAATGCCCTGACATGCGCCCGGTATTGACAGGATGTCACGATCTGGTACTGGGTAACATCCGGCGGAAGTGTTTGTCGAAGAGACGACGTCTTCGCCGTCCGTGGAACAGGAACTGGAAGGTTTGTTGTTCTGCGGCAATTCTCGGATACCGTGAGGGAGCCGGAGTCGAGCGTCGACAAAAGCCGAGGGTGACGGGGTTCGAGCACGTGAAGTGAATGTCCCCACAGGAGATGCTGACCGCAAGATGTCCGACGACGTGATGTGGGGGTTCTGGGCTTCAGTCACACTGTTGATGTAACGTGGTGCCTTGGTCCTTTGGCCTGGCAGTGATGAATAGAGCTCACCGCACGAGTGGCCTGGGAAATAGAAGAAACAAAGATTTGTAATGGAGGTGACGACGTCCAGGGGCGGATCAGGAGGTGACAGCTAGGACACACACCCCGAATCCGTTTTCAAATCCACACATGCACACATAATGAGCATACACACATTTTACAATACGAAATCTCAGCGCTTTTCTTTATTAGCCTATGACCTTTGACATTTAGGCCTCCTTTCGGTTAGCTCCTGTAAGGAAATGACCGGGAACGTTGTGTACCTGAAGGTTACACAACTTTTAGTCGATGGATCTTGAACCCACTATTAGAAATACAACTTGTTTGATGTAAATTTCAGGTTAGTATCGGTAACTCCATGTTTTGTTTGGCCTGAATCCCGATGTCATTACCAAAGTCAACATCCCATAGTCCAGAAAGATCGGTCTCGTTGGAAATTAAAAACATAAATTTGTCTCTGAAACAAATTTATTCACCTAAGTTTTTAACGTGATTTCGATCACATCACACGATTCTGACTAGCTGAATCTGACCAGCTCAACGTCTAATTAATGCATCATAAAATCTAAGCCTAACAATTTGTTCAATCTGCAGGAAACACATTTTTCATCAAATTTTACAAATAAAAACCAAATGACGGAGAAACTGTAAATTTTCAATGTAACAACAACATTGCCTACGAATGACATCACCTTTTGTTTTAACTCTGTCTACGAATGACATCACCTTCAGTTTCAACTCTGTCTACGAATGACACCACCTTCTGTTTCAACTCTGTCTACGAATGACATCACCTTCTATTATAGTTATATTCCTTTATAAAAATGATTTATAGAGACCTTAAACTATTTGACACTGGATTAATGTGTCATCAAATATGTAACATGGGAAAAACCTGTCACGTGAACTCTAAGTCTTATTCACTCAACAAATATTTGAGCCATTCAAAGATGAGTGAACTGTAATGTTTAAAATTTCTTTTGGTGCGCAGCCCCCCCCCCCACCCGGGCCACGCCCCCCCCCCACTGCATTCCCTTTAAAAACAACAAAAACAACATCTTGTGTGTACATGGGAAAAACCTGTCACGTGAACTCCAAGTCTTATTCCCCCAACAAATATGTGAGCCATTCAAAGATGAGGGAACTGGAATGTTTAAAATTTCTTTTGGTGCGCAGCCCCCCCCCCCACCCGGGCCACGCCCCCCCCCCACTGCATTCCCTTTAAAAACAACAAAAACAACATCTTGTGTGTTTTTTCCACCCTTGATGCGCCGAAACATACGATTATTACGATTATTAAAACCAAAAGGGCGGCTTAATCTATGATTATTGTTAGTAAGCTGTATAACAAGAATAAGTTGATTGACATTTCTATGTATTTTACCATTCGGCTACGGTGACCATCATCAGCCCGTTACAGATTAGATGGAGAGAGTCTCAACATAAGTCAATTACCTTTATAATACGGAAAACACTGTACTAACTATACTTTGCGCGGCCCAGTGGCACAGCGGTCCAGTGGCACAGTGGCACAGCGGTCCAGTGGCACAGTGGTACAGCGGTCCAGTGGCACAGTGGCACAGCGGTCCAGTGGCACAGCGGTCCAGTGGCACAGCGGTCCAGTGGCACAGTGGCACAGCGGTCCAGTGGCCCAGTGGCACAGCGGTCCAGTGGCACACTAAGAGCGCTTTGGGTGAATGGAATTTCTGAGTATAGATGGCGCGGAAATAATGACAGATTATCTGTTCCGTGGTCATTCAATATGATGGCCCTATATGATGGTCCTATATGATGGTTCTATATGATGGTTCTATATGATGGTTCTATATGATGGTTCTATATGATGGTTCTATATGATGTCCTAAATGATGGTCCTAAATGATGGTCCAATATGATGGTCCAATATGATTGTCTAATTTGATGGTCCAAGGAAGATGGTTGAAAATTCAAGTACTGAAGGGGTATGGAGTTGTATGACTTTCTTTCGAATCTTTCAAGAATATTTTCACTTTCTGACACTTACCAATAAATAAATTCCTTGGGCTTGCTGCCATGCTAACAACGGTAAAGTTTTCCAAGAATTGTGAGGTTTATGGCTTATGACATCATTGGGAACTCCTGATGGGTTTCTATGGAGACCAAAACAAAACAAAAAACGTTAATAATTATGTATTATGTATTATGTATACAAATAAATTGTATACATTTTATTCGGCGGTCAATTATTCGGTCGTTTATAGTTTACAGCCTTTCATCATTGAACGTTTCCAACAATCTTCGTCTCATTTCTTTGAACAGATTTCTGCAGTATGACATAAAACAGGTCCTAAACTTTGGGGAATTTTAAAGACAAGTGGTATACCTTTTATCTAAAACAATTTGACGTTATATTATATATATATATATCTTATGAGACACATACAATCTGATCATTATGAATTTATGTTTAAAAAATTTCTACTGGTGTCAGTGGCAGGCACTGTCAGTACTTTAATAAAAATTGTTTATGTGTTTGGGGGTGATTTTGGGGGGGGGGGATGTGATTGGAGGGGTGGGGGGGGGGTGAGTATTATTTTTTCCACTACACTTAATAGGAACAGGCCAAATTAATAAAATAAAATCTAGCTTTAATTGAAACATTATTTTTGTAACGTTTATTTTTAGGTTTGTAAAAGAATCGATTCCTCGTTGTGTAACGGAGGCTCTCCAATCACGGCATGGCCGTTTACATGGACATTGGCGAATAGGATACATAGATGACAAAACTTGAAAGACCATGAATCATGGGATGGGAGCAGATCACCCTTGCGCCCTACCACATGAATCATAATCGTCCCTTTCCAGAAATGGTGTCTTATGATAGCATACAGCTCTTATCAATTCAATACATTTCTGTTCATTTCANGTGTGTGTGTGTGTGGGGGGGGGGGTAACAAATATGCATATAAAATATCAACGACGCACGTGGATTATCTACCTCTACTGTTGATTATAGCAGCATGTTATAAAATACGTTTGAATCTATTATTCACAATTAACATATGCTTTCCGAAATAGACTTAATTTATATATAAATTACACGTTTTTTAAAAAAGCTAGTCAAAAGATATCTTTCTATTTATAGACAGCGCTTTCCCCGTGGTGAGTCAATGATTTCAGAGTGACGTTTCTTCACAATTAGTAATACAATTCAAATTCATTCAACACATATTCATTGAGATGTATTTCATACTTATCTACGCCAACAGTGGCGTATGAATGTGGGGGCAGAAGCGACGGTCGGCTCCCGGGTGGCATTTTTTCCCTTTTATTAAAGGGCGCAATTTTCGGCCGCTTGGATAGTTTTTTCGTGGAATGTGATAGGGTGGGGGCGGTAAAAAGCCTGACGCCCCAGGGTGCATTAAACCTGGCTACCCAACTGTACGCCAGTTATGTCAAATGTAAATGTTTAAAATAATACAATTAAAAAATCATTCTATTATTTTATTACATGCATAGACAGACATAGACAGACATAGACAGCTTACCCAAATCAAAGTACTTACCATGTATTCTCAGTTTCTCTGAACACATCAGTCGTGATAAAATCTTACTTTATTCCTCTACTCTGTCCTTTTTATCGAATGGTTTGATGGTCTATCACTGACTAAGTGGTTTGATGGTCTATCACTGACTAAGTGGTTTGATGGTCTATCACTGACTAAGTGGTTTGATGGTCTATCACTGACTA